CACCGAGAACGCCGCGAGTGTCGAGCTCGAGCGAGCAAACCGCTTGGGCACGCGCCACCAGTGTTTGTTCCCCGCCGGCTTCTTCCCTCTTGTAAAGGTCGTCGGGGGTCACGCGAGAATGCGGCGATAAGGAGGTGGGCTATTGATCACCGGCGCGCCTCGCCGAATATCGCGCACGCGGGTCCGGCTTTTGCACGCCGGTGGCGACCGCCAAATTGATTTTTATTCCTCCTCCTCCCTCCTGCCGCTGCCGCCGCCGCCGGGAGGAAGGCCATTTACGCTCGCTCGGAGTTCAATTTCACCCGTCGAATACTAATCAGTCATACGGGGGGGGGGGGGGGGGGGGGGGGGGTCCGCCAGGAGATAATGGAAAGATATGGATTTAAATAAAGACTCGCGCTGTTTAATTCCCCTGCTGGTTAGACACGCGTGCCCGCTCGCGCTCGCGCGCCAGTAAATATTGGCGAAATTTACCAGACGGAGGTTTGTAACAAATGAGGTTACGCGGCGGTTTTAGTAATGAGGCGCGGCGGCGTTGTGGGGAAAAAAATGTTTGATTGATTGTTTTGTGTGTGTATTTGTGCGTGTGTGTATATATATGCGCGTGTGTGTGTATGCGTGGGCGCGTGTGCATGTGTGGTGTAGATAATCAAATCTATCAGCATCGTTTATTTATCCCGCCTGAAAGCTCTTTAAATTAATTCTCTCTCTCTCTCGTGTGGATGAGTTGATGGCTGTGTAGTATAGCGGGGGTTGTTGCGGATTCTTTTTTTTTGTTTTCAGCAAATTTCAGATGTTGGCCGCAAGGGACTTCATGATTCACAACTGATGAGCCGGTCCCTCGTTACACCCCTCCTCCCCGGCTGTCACCAGCCACAGCCCACCGCGTGAACATTTGGGTGTAAGACATCTGATGCTGCACCCTTGGTGCTGCACTATTTTGGGGCTGCAGAACCGGTGCTGCACGCTCGGTGCTGCACCCAAGGTACTGCACTACAGGTGCTGCACCCAAGGTACTGCAGGACAGGTGCTGCACCCAAGTTACTGCAGGACAGGTTCTCTGCAGGGCAGGTGCTGCACACTCGGTGCTGTACCGCATGTGCTGCACTCTGGGTGCTGCACACTTGGTGTTGTACACTCGATGCTGCACGCTCGGTGCTACGGCCTCGGTGCAGCACAGCTAGTTCTGCACCCCTGGCACTGGAGGCCCGGGTAGAGCGCGGAGCGGTCGTGAAGGAGCCTCGTGAGTCGCTGTGTTTCCCCACGCACCGTAAGCCGCTCCTCGCTTCAAACGCTGCTCTAATTGCGGTGGTGTTGTCCACTTGTTTTATTGTTTTTTCCCCCCGTTGTAAATTTGTGCATTGTTATACAAATTTTACGGGGTGGTTGAAATATTATATATTTTTTCATTAATAGAGAAAGTTGTGTTTGAGTGTTGTGCTTTTTTTTGTTTACCCCGCGACATCTAACCATTGCGGCATCGTGAATCGCGTTTCGATACAAAGTGTATCCATTCGCCAAGTCTCCCAGAGCACCGCATTCCCCACGTTGCTGGAAACCGGTCCGCTGAAGCAGGCGTCACAGAACTACTTCTGAGATCCCTTTATTACGTGACCTCTTAAACCTGACAGTACGCGTCCTGTCTCGATGTTTGTCGTGACATTTTTTTGTTTTGCGATGAAGTACAACATACATACATAGTTCAGTGTCGGTAGTTAGGTGAGTAAATGGGTAGTTAGGTGAACGGGTGTGTACGTAGTTTGGTGGGGAGTAGGCAGTGTGGTGGGCAAATAGGAATGGGTGGGTATGTGGGTGCATGAGTGGTTAGGTATGTAGGTGGATGGGTGGCTGGCTGTATGAATGTGTGTATGGTGAACTTCTTACATATCTTACGTAGCCAACCGTGGTAATCGGAGGTGCGGGGTAAGGACAACAAACTAAATACACAAAAAAAACAGTTCTAGAGAAATGAGTTTCAAATCCAGATTTAATAGTGCATAGCTCCAGTGGCTTCCCAATATCGGAAGGAAGAGCGTTCCAGACGGCCGCAGAAGCGCATCTGAAAGCACGCAAAACAGTGACCGCCTTTGTTCCATGGCTAGCAGCCAGAAGCCGCTGCGAAGATGACCGGAGATCGCGCAATGGCTTACGCTCCTTGACGAGATCAGCGTGACATTGTGGTTCAATTGTGGTAAGCACTTAAGTGAAAAACCGAATAGAAAATTGTCATTTCGTTTTTTTTTACTGCAGTCATTGGTCGATGGGCAGAGACCATCAACTGGCTGCATTTGAGAACTCTGTTTAATCACTGCTGGCTAAAACACCCGTGACCTCTTATCCATATTCGTTGGTTCTTTCGGTAAAGTTACGTAGGTGAAAAAATAAAAAAATAAAAATCACGACGTTTCGATTGCAACACAAGCAATCATCATCAGATGTGACAACCACAGCAAGACATTTTCTTACTGAATTGGGAGAGAAGCCAGAGTTAGGGCAGTTAAATAAGTCAGAGAGGGGGAGGATGGGGGGAAGGGGAGGGGGCGTATGGGGAGAGGAAGGGCGAGCCCTGCAGGGACGCTGAGAGCAACGAAGCGACACGATTGCTGCCAAGATAGATGATGGCGCCCAAAGCAAAATAGCCGTACTGCTAAACGCTGAGGATGTAATTAACTCGGTAAAATAGACTAGTACCCGATAAATAAGATGGAACAACTATATATGAACAGTTAACTTTTACTTGGTTATTAAATTACTGCAGTCACGAAAGCTTTAAATCAAAAATCTTTCCAATGATTGCTCAATTTGTATCCACCATCTCGGTTGAAGTTATGTCTATGTTTATATATCTGGATGGCTTCATGAATAAATCTTTGATGGTAGCCAGACGGCTTTGCTGAGCACCTTGGTCTCGGAGAAAACAATATCATGAGAGCCCACACCGTTATAGCAATGATCAGCACACTGAGATTGGGGCAGTGCCCCTTTCCCACATGTCTCAAGCTAAAGACATAAATTCCCGATGCGTGGCAGCCAATTCGATAGTTTTAATTGTCAGGGGTTGGAATTAAGTGGGAAAACCCAATTAATGTATTTGTTTTTTTTCTTTCTCCCAGCAGTAATTCTGGTGTTTGGGCTGCGACAATGAACTCACTCACACTTGAGAACCCAGCTTTTATCGCAGGTGGATGCAACCAAAAATGGAAACACGGGATCTCAGCGGTCCCCGTTCAATATCTCGACCTTAACCCCTGAGCCCACGAGTCCGGCAACTAACAGGAAGACTTATTTCATTTTTATTCATCTTTTTTTTTACCCAGGAAAGCCTGACCTAGTCTCATGGAGTGTACTGCCAAGTGTTCACAGTCGAGGGGGAGGAGCGATGATCGCCTTGTATATTTTCAAATGAGTAGCCTTGGAGCAGATGGTGGTGGGATGAGACTGTCAGGTCAGATCGTGGAGGTCGCTGCGTGTCGAACGTGCAGCTGCTGGGGGTTGTGGCAGAGGGTACGAAGCGAGCGTTGGCAAGGAGGTTGCCGTGCCATCGGCGGCTTTGGCCTCGATTAACTCGGGATTCCGAGTGAGGCGCTGGGTAGACTCCAGCTTGTTCAGGCTGCTGGAGTGGTGTGAGCGCATCACCACACCGGCTGTCGTTTTATTTTACATTGGCGACCAGTCCAGTATCGAGTGGCCTATAAGATCCTGCTGCTGCTGCTGCTGACCAACAAGGCACTCAATGGATCAGCCCCGCGATAGTTACAGCAACTTATCCATCTTTATACACAAACGAGGTCCCTGAGATCTTGGGATCGTCTTCTTCTCAGTACTCCGAGGTCAAGGCTCATTTCCTCGGGTGATCGGGCTTTTGCCAGTGAAGCAACCGAGCTTTGGAATGCTTTCCTAATAAGACAGAGTCGTTCACTTTATTTGAGCCTGTCATGAAAACTCACCTCCTTAAACTGGCCTTTCCTCTCGCCGAGTTCTGTGCGTTTACCAGCCAGGTTATGTTCATGCCCTGCTTTCCATGCATGGGTGCATTGGGATCTGTGAATGAAATGCGCCTTTTACAAGTGTAAATTATTATTGTTATGAACCACCCAGCTATCTCGGACAAAATATTCTCGTAAGGCAAAATGTTGTGCGTACGGGATCGGCTCTCTCATGAGTTTGTTGCGGCTGTGGCTTGTTGAGGTTGTAGGTGGCGAGATGCTAACCACCTCGCCCGGTACACAGGAGATCGTGAGTTCGATCCCGACCCTGACCATGCCTGCTGTATACGTGGAGTTTGCATGGCTCTCTCTCCCCGTGGATTTTTTTTCTCCCGAGTCCTTCGGTTTTTCCTCCCAAATTTTGAATCAACGTGCGTTGAGAGTATTTGGCTGCGATACATTTCCGCGCGATAAGCAGCTTCGTTGGGCTACCATTCGTGGCCGGGTCGCCTCTGAAAAAGAGCTACACAGCTCAGTGGGCCTTACCTGGTAAAATAAAAAAATATATATAGTTTCATAATCAATGTATGTTGAACTTCTTTCGCACCGTACATAGCCTAGCATGATAATCAAGGTTGCGGGATGTGTGAGAGTGTGCTTGCTGTGTGTTAATACAAACACGTTCGCTTGGCAACTTTCTTCAAATGTCCCAGTTTTTTCCGGACCTCAGCAGCATTAGCAGCATCATCATCATCAGAAATGCGCAGGCGACGAGGGCCCGTTGTGCCAATCATGAGTATCCATGCTCCACACTGCATCGTAAAAGGCCCTCGGCAAGGTCAGGCCCGGTGTCACGACGGATCTAACGAAGGCCCCGACAGCGTGAAAACGTGGCCTCCCAACTACAAGTCCGTCGATCTCCCTGCCCTCTTTTTTTATCTCTCTCTCTCTTGGCTCTGAAGTGGGGCCATTGCGCGAAACGTCCGCCGACTGTTCACGTTTCCGTTTTAAACGATAATAATGGCGAATATGCCGAGCGTTGTGCTAACCGAGTCGACGTCTCCCTTGCGACAGGACCGAGTCCGTCGCAGAGAAAATGTTGACCAACTGGTTCACCTTTCTACTCCACAAGTTTCTCAAGGTGGGTTCGTCTTCAGCTGGAATCTCCGCGCGTAAATCGTCGCCGTTGTAACATGCTGGAATGTATGGGCGTGCGAATGAATGCGCGCGTAGCCAGGTTTGTTTCGCTCGAGTTTCTCTTCGCTTCATTGCTGTTCTTTGTTTTGATTTCGTCATTTATAGTGACCCAGGTCATTGTTGCGAATGAGGCTCTATCCCTGGTGCCTTCGACAAATTTTCACCTTGACCCTGAAACTTGTGTAAATTCACCGCGCGATGAAGTCCTCTCCCCAGCTCCGTGCGGGTCGAGGCGGTAATTTGTCCGCACTTTGCCGTGCTCGTCGGTGCCGGTTGGCAAAGGCAGGAAGCATAGAAATACGGTACAACAGTGGAAATACAGCACAACAATGGAAATACAGTACAACAATGGAAATACAGTACAACAATAGAAATATAGTAAAACAATGGAAATACAGTACAACAATGGAAACACAGTACAACAATGGAAATGCAGTACAACAATGTATTTTTCTGCAATCCGCTCTGCTGCTCACCAGGTTGAACTCGATGCAGCTTGGGCATGGCGGTTGCCCATCCAGGCTGAGCACTGCTTCACTTTCCAGAGATCTCACGAGCTCAGGATAACTTCTGGGTGATTTGTTCATCCGCTGTGTACCGGCCTAAATTGACAATAACAACTGGATTTTATCTTGCTGAGAGGAAGACGAGATCCTCATGCGTTTAGCCACTGGCAGAGTGATGAAGATCAGTCGGTTGATATATCAAGATCTTCCCTAATCTTCGCGGCATGTACACCACAATAAAGCTATGTTATATATTTACGAGATATGTAATAATTCAGCCGCGCCTGCTGCTCCCATGTGAGTGCTATTGTAGGTCTGCGCGCACACAGTACACCCACTAATACACACGCAGTACACACACAGTACACGCACTGATTGATCTACAAGTCTCGCGTAAGTAAAATCTGCAATGTTTAAACATTCTCCGAGTGAGAGCACCGATCGTGGAATGGCACTGTCTCTAGAACGGTGTGATCGCGTTGTCAGACGAATGTTATACATGCCATCATCGCTGTCATCACCCCATCACTACCATCATCATCACCACATCACTACCATCATCACCACCACATCACTACCATCATCACCAGCACCATCGCCTTGGTTATTCTGCAGCAGGCCGAGAGTGCCGCCCGTGCCTCGCCGGTCCTTGGACTGTGGAACGCTGTGACGCTCTCCAAGGTGCTGATGCCCGTGTCGTCATTGCCTCTCCACTTTCCCCGCTTCATGTTTCTGCCCTCGCCCCTCGTTGCTTGTCACCCCCCCCGTCCCTCGTTGCTTGTCACCCCCCCCCCCCCCGTCCACCCATTTGCCCAACTAACTGACCGACTCACCGACCAACCAACCAACTAACCGACCAACTAACGAACCATCCCACCAACTGACTGACTGACCGATCAACCCACCTATCGGCTGACCGACCCACCAAATGGCCCAACCAACTAAACTAATAATGAACTAACCAACCGACAAACCGACAAGCTGATCAACTTACCAACTAACCGACCGACCGCCCAACCTTCGACCGACTGATCGACGCAACCAATCGACCCAACCGACTCACCGACTGACAAACTAACTGACCGACCATCCAATCCAACCAACTGACCCACTCACCGACCGACCGACCCACTGACCGACCCGCTGTCTGACCCGCCGACGATGCCCTCGTATCAGGAACGAGCGGGCGAGCCCCTCTTCAAGCTGTACTGTGCCATCAAGCAGCAGATGGAGAAAGGTCCGATCGACACGGTGAGCGGGGAGGCGCGATACTCGCTCAGCGAGGACAAGCTCATCCGCCAGCAGATAGAGTACCGCACGCTGGTGAGAAGCTCACCGCAGAGCCGCACCGCCGCACCGCGCACACACCCACCCACCCACCCACTCCGTTGAGCCGTGGTGTCAGCGTCTGCGCTGGGGGATACAAACTTGCACACGAGCACCACGAGCATTGCCAGTGGCCTTAATAGGCGCTCGCCAACAGCGCTTGGCCAACGGGCGGTTGCGTGCCGCCCGGTGGTAGTTGTGTGCAACTGGGTTGCGTGCAGCCGGGCTGCGCGTACGGTACACGGGAGCGACGATTAAGTTGCGCAATTTCGAGCGCGATTTGGTTGCTCAATCGATCACCCCAGGTGTGTAGCCGGCTTCAGGCTCCTGTAGATATCTCGCGGCGGTGCGTGTCAATAATACATGATGTTTGGGGCAATGGCCCTTCATCATTGCACATAGATAGGCCAGGGAGATTGAGTGGCCGGTAAGTCTGCAGCTCTACATGACGGCGCTCTAAAGCATCGCATGCATTATATGTTTTTGCAATAAGCCCATGGCGTTATTGACGAATGTGTTGAGTTTTTGTTTTGGTTATTGTGCTCGTGCACCACTGCCAATGCAGCATCGGCAAAAAGAAATGTATGATTTAGTTGTGTGCGCATAATTGTGTATGTGTTGCATTTTTGTGAAGCGGTCGTTGTAGCGGTTAGCGCCCTGCACTACGAAACCCTGCGACCTGACTTCGAGTCTCGTTCATGGCCAATACCGGTGACGATCATCTCCCCTAGGTCGACTCAGCTTCAAAATGAGTACTTGGTGCAGTGTGTACACATCGCCACTGGGGAGACAAAGGCGACCGGGCGTGGTCCTGGCCACTCACCTCCTGGTGTACCATTTCGGCCTTCATAGGTGCTCGCTAGCAGCACTTGCCCCAACAGTCTTTTAAAGGCTATATAACGGGAGGGGGGGGGGGTGGGAGAATCCTTGTCTTCGTGTGTACACGTGTGTGTATGTACATGTGTGTGTGTGTGTACACGTGTGTGTGTGTGTGTACACGTGTATGTGTGTGTGCCTGGCACAAGCGTCGTGGTGACGTCACCGCCACTTAGTGGCGAATGGCGGTTGTTGTTGTTGTGTGTGTGTGTGTGCGGCGCACAGACCCTGAACTTGGTGAACCCGGAGAGCGAGAAGGGCCCCGAGGTTCCGGTGAAGGTGCTCAACTGCGACGCCATCACCCAGGTCAAGGAGAAGCTCCTGGACGCGGCCTACAAGAACGTGCCCTACTCGCTGCGGCCCCGCGCCTCCGACCTCGACCTGGGTCAGAGGGGTGGCCACGAACGTCCACGCACCCCCACCCCCCCGTCGCTCCCAACTCCGCGCCAGCGATGCCGCTATTGGCTGGCCATCGAACAAAGACGGTCGCCGCATTGCGAGCTTTCTAGATGCGCTTCTGTAGCCCGTCCGGAACTCTCTTCCTTTCCGATGTTAGAACGCCACTGGAGCTGTGCACTTTTAAATCATCTCGACTGAATACTCGTTTGTTTTTTTAACTGATTTTTGTGTTTAGATTGTTGTCCTTCCCCCGAAAATCGCGGTTGGCTACGTACGGTGCGAAAGAAGTTCACATACACTCATGCATACAGCACAGTCAGCCATCAAATACCGACACCAAAACTCCCCATCCTCCGAACCACCCACATACCCACCCACATTCCCACCCATTCACCCAACTAACCATTTACCCACCTAACTACCTACTCGCCCAACTACTTACCCATCCATACCACATTCACACCAGTCAGTCAGTCACCAACCCACCCACATGCCTGCCTACCAGCCGGCCTGCTAACCTCACTCAGTGAGCCAGCCACCCACCTACATACCTACCTAACCACTCACGCACCCACATACCCACCTTTTCTAATTTTCCCACCAAACTGCCTACTCCCCACCCAACCACATACACACGCATTCACCTAGCTACCCATTTACTCACCTAACTACTGATCCTATGTATGAATGTTCAACTTATTTCGCACCGTATAGCCAACCGTGTTAATCCAAGGTGCGGGGGACGGACGACAAACGAAACACGAAAAGCAATTCTAAGGAAATTCGTTTTCAATCTGGTTTCCTAATATTGGAAGGAAATGGCCGCAGAAGTGCACCTGAAAGCGCACGATGTGGTGACCCGCCCCCCTTACGCACACACCCACGTATTCACCACACTACCTGCACCACCAACATATCCACTCATCCACCTACACAACAGTCCACCCACTCACCCACCGACCCCGCCCCCCTAGCCCACATGCGTGTGGCGGCTGGGGCTGAGTGTGCGCATCAGTTGATCTTGGCCTTGGGCATGCCCGGAGGGGGCAGGGGAAGCGGTGGTGGTGGGGACAGGGAGCCGGAGTCTGTGCTTTAGCAATCTCTCTCTCTCGCTTTGCCTTGGGCCAGGGAAAATTGCCGCTTCTAACACGCGCGCCGCGTAGGAAACGCAACGCGCGCACACACACTTGCACGCGCACGATGCAACGCTCGTGCGGCGCGTACACGCGGGCGCACTCATGAACGGTTTGCGCTGTGTCCTTAACCTGCGCACGTTCTCTAATTTACGTGCTCCTCTATCTCCGTCTCGTAATCTCGAATGTGTACCGCTCCGCGGCTGTCTAAGCGCACCACGAATTTTCGTTCCATTTTATTTTTCCGGTTCACCAATGACATGGCCACGATTTTGAGTGCGTTCGCCGCAAAGGTTAACTTCCCCGCTGTACTGACCGTAGAAAATCTAAGCACCGTCCGCTCTACCACGGACGTTAAAGGTCCGGTCCCCGCGACATCACTCGCAAGCGTAGGCCATCGTGTGCCGGAGCCACGGCCTGCATTTGCCAACTTTTAAAAAGATGTTGATGCCGCTAATCATTCGATAGGAATACAGTCTGTTCTCCTATAATGCGGTAGTCGTTGCGTCCCTGAGGAACACCGCGTTATTTATGGCTGAGTCGACCTAGGGGGGGGGGGCCCTGGGCCGGTTCAGATAATCCTCACCGACGTTGGTCGTGAGCGGGAATCGAACTCGCTGGGTTCACAGCGCGAGTGCGATAGCCACAGCGTCGCACGCTCCACCCCCAGCGCGACCCGAGTTTTATTCATCGTCACGGCTCACGTCAGCGGCGTGTGAACCGGTCCTGGGGCTTCCCTCTAAATTGACTCGGCCTTGCGTTTCAGTGCCGGCTGGATCATTCCACCTACAGTAGCGGCTTGGTGGTGAGCGCGTTGGCGAGAGGTGCGCCAGGTGGTACGTGGGCAGCTGCTTTATCATGAATAATATGTCATGGAGGGTAAAGCACAGCCCGCGATAGCACGTGAGATGCGTACGCAGGCTGAACAAAGACCGAGGCGCGTGGGTAGCATCGATAAGCATCCAGCAGCATCCCGCCTTGCGTGATGCTACGCCGAGGCAGCCGTACGACCGCTTATTCCTACTCGCGCGACGTGGTTCCGTCCACTCGATCGCGTTCTATCTAATTCGCATCCACGTTATAAAAAATGCGGTCCTTGAAACATTCATCGCGTTATAGCCAATTTGCTGCGAAAACTTGCCAGGACCCTCCTGCAAAAAAATGCATCAAGAGACTCGGGCGATGTAGCCGGTGAGACACACCGAGTACGAAAAACAAGGTCACTGAGCGCCGCGGTGGTGAGATGTTAATCACCTCGCCTGGTGTACAGGAGGCGTGGGTTCGATCCCGACCCTGACGCCTGCTGTATACATGGAGTTTGCATGTTCTTTCTTTCTCCCCCCATGGTCGCGTGGATTTTTTGTCCTCTTGTATTTGCCTCCACATGTATTTTCAACATCACCCGTTGAAAGTGTTTGTCTGCTCTATAGATTCCTACGCGATAAGCCACTTCGTTGAGCGATCATTTGTGTCCAGGTCGCTTCTGAAAAAGAGCTGTGTAGCTCAGTGGGCCTTACCTGGTTTAAGAAAAAAAAAGTTGATGTTTTTTTTGTTCCTTGCTGTTGGTTTTCTGCGGCAGAGTGGCGGCCCGGCAGGATGGCGCGGGTCATCCTGCAGGACGAAGACCTGACGACGAAAATCGAAAACGACTGGAAGAGGTGCAACACCCTAGCTCATTACCAGGTGAGGCGGCGTTTCCACTTCCTGCACCGCCGCACGTGACCGGCGAACGAATTGTCACGAACCTGGAACTCGTGAAGCGACTAATCCCCCGCTCGTCCCTGCGGTCGCTTAATAGGCACTTCACTACTACCCGCCGGTCTGTACGGAATTAAGTTTTACAAGCAAGAGCAGCATTGCATTGCCTGGGTTTTACCGCTTCTGTCACCGTTAACAACAACAGCCGCCCTTCGCCACTGAGTGGCGGTCATGTCACCACGGCACCTGTGCCAGGCCAGGTGCACTTTGAGGCCACGTGAAGTGTTGGGACAGAGCCGGGTGCCATGGTTTGACTGACAGACGCACCAGCTGTACCCCCTACTGTGCCAACTCCTCTGCCCTCCGTTGTTGGAGGGCGACTGCCTCCAACTGCCCAGTAGCAGGGCCCTTCACGAGCCTCCTCCACAGAGGCCGAACTTGACACCGCTGCTACCGGTCTTCGGCAAGTCCAATCAGCTCCACTTCCTCCTGTACAACATCAGTCCATCTCTTTTCTTTGCTCGTGCCGCACTCGTTTTCTCCCCTCTATCCGACCAAACAGAAGCTGCTTTGGCAATCGGTGGCTGGGCATGCGGGCTACGTGACCCAGCCAACGCAGCCTTGCCCGTCGTCACAAAGACACACACTCACACAAACGCATGCGCGCATGCACACGCACGCACGCCGTGACGAGAGCCTTTCCACCCATCGTAAGCGTCACCACGATTGTTGCAGCTGTCAGCCAAATGAGCAGATTCGTTCTCCTTCGGTCCGTTTCACTTGCTTTTGCACCCTCGAGGAGAGAAGCGGCATAATGAATAAAGCTCCCCGGCTTTTCTAATGTGCAGATGTGCAAGGGGCAGCTGCCATCTTTGATCGATGACACATCTGCCACACAGCAGAAGACGCGCGAGAAAACCACGTATTATTTCACGTGAATACTTACCGACATCCTTTCTCTATTGAAACGTTCCCAAATGTATGTATGTCCCTATTTATTAAGGATGAGTTTCGTGTTCATTTTGATACATTTTATTTATTCACGTTGCCCGATCGTGGCACACTTCCAACAGTGAACACACTGCCCGGTGTTACGGGTCGTGCGTGTACCGAATCGCAGAGCCTGCGGGTGGAATGTCGCAGCGTTGGCCGCTATTTTCTTTTAATAAGCAGAAGACGGGGTGGCGGAGCTGGGGATGGGGGCGTGGAAGTGGCTCACACGTGGGAGATTGTATGTATGTATGTCGAACATCTATCGCACCGTACGTAGCCAACCGTGATAATGGAAGGTACGGGATTGAAGTGCTGCACAAACATGAGTTTGACATTTAAATATCTCGGGATTCGTTTTTTTTTTCAAGGACAGTTTCGGATCTTTTGTTGTTAGTGCTTTTGGACCGTTTACATTATGGAACAATAATTGCACGCGCCTTTCGCAAATGACACTCCATCCCTGGAGTTCTCACTCGGTTAGACAAAATCAGCGTGACGTCACGTGCCGCCACTCTTGTTGGTGAGAGCGAAAAAGTGATGGAATGTACGAAGACGTCACGAAGACGTCACTGCACGTGACGTCGTACCATAGATATTCATTCCGAAAGAGAAAAAAAAAACGCGTGTTTTCTGTTCACGTTTTTTTATTTTTTTCTTTCGGATCGTCCAAAATTTCGACGCTCGGTGCGACTATCGGATCTCTCGATTTCACCCCAAAGATCAGCCACGCAACGGCGAATGTTTTCGTTATCTCTTCCGCGAGACAGATTCTGGATGGCTCAGCAGTGGCGCTGGTGCCAAAGCAGCTGCCCACGTGCCACCTGGCGCACCTCTCGCTAACGCGCTCGCTGCCAAGCCGCTACGGTACGTGAAATGATCCAGCCGGCACCGAAACGCGACGCCGAGTCAATTTAGGGGGAAGCCCCAGGACCGGTTCACACGCCGCTGACGTGAGCCGCGATGGGGAATCAAACTCTAGGGTCGCTTTGGTTAGTGGATCGTGTGACGCTGCGGCTGTCGCACTGGAGCTGTGAACCCAGCGAGTTCGATTCCCGCTCATGGTCAACGTCAGTGAGGATTGTCTGAACCGGCCCTGGGCCTCCCCCTAGGTCGACTCAGCTATAAATGAGTACCTGATGCGGTATGTAAGCATCGCCACTTGGCAGACAAAGGCGGCTGGGCGTGATGCTGGCCACCCACCCCCTCGTGTGCCGCGCCCGCCCCCATAGGTGCTGCTCGTTAACAGCACTTGCCCCAACAGTCTGTTAAAGGCTACACGGGCAATCTTTGTCTTTGTATATGAGGAGCGATAACGTGATGGTTAATGTACTGAAAAACCCGGCGTGCTGGGTTCGATGCCCGGCCGTGGCTGACATCAGTGACGAGTGATTTCTGAACCACCCCTTGCCGCTCTACCGCACTCTTCCACCCCCCACCCCGGTCCGCCTCACCAACTTGAAACTATCATCGTGAAGTATGGTCAAATCAACCCTCACAACCGCGGCGGTGCCCAAGCCTGTATCCTGAGCTTGATTAGGGTGGAGTGGCGCCACAGTGGGTTAGCACGGTGCGCCACGCACGCGGCGACCCGAGTTCGATTCCCGCTCACGGCTATATCGTCAGCGATGTCTTAACCGGTCCTCACCAATCCGCTTCACGGACCGGCATTGCGAAGTACGTTGAAACGAACCCTCGTGACTTGGCACGGCACGGGGGTACGGGGAGAGGCGTTCCATGTAGCAGCAGCAGCAGCAGGGGCGGCAGCTCACAAAGGAGCTGTAAATTATTTATTGCCGTAAAATAATTATAGGGGAGAGGGGGGGAGGAATGTTGATGAAACGTCTCGCTAAGTCACAAGATTCTCAGAAGCACGCAGGAAAATTCACATCCGTTGTGAAAAGGGCAACAAGCGGGAGAGCCGGAGGCAATTTCGGGCGAGTTTAATAAAACATATAAAAAATATATAACGGCGGCGACATATGTTACTGGATATTGCTCCGTAGCGAAATAGATTTGTGCTTTTGACAGAGCATGAGGTAACAAAAAATAAAACGAAGCAAAAACATTCCCTCTTCCAATGTTTTTCTCCGCGAACCGCGGTCCTGACGCTGGCTGCGGAGTTTGCGTATTCGCAAAGCCGCTTAACTCCCCACCGACAAATCGATCACCGCACGAGCGCCGGACTCCATCATCTCTCGACCCAGCGGCGACCCGTGGCCGCACGATTCGATGACCCAATTAACCCGTTGACCTCTCGACCTAAACAAATCCATACGGCATCGCTCCAAACGCTCGCCCGGTCCCCCTCTCACTGTGAGAGACACGGCGGCCGCGATGCCATATCCACTTTGACCTGACAGCCCCTTCATCCGATATTCCACTTGGCTATGATCCCATCGCTCCTCGCCGTTTGCCCGGCACGCATGTCGAGTGAGCGATCCGGAAGTCGCCCCTTCGATTCGATCTCTCCCAGCGCGGCATTTTAAATGACGGTGAGAGTTTCTGGAATCCGCCCACCACCACCACCACCACCACCCCCGGCGCTCCTATTCACTCAGCAGTGTCAATGGATTAAGCACCGCAGTTAAGTTGACCGGCAGGTCATGCGGAGCGTGGGCTAAAGCGTGGGTGCTCCCACATCTTCCAGCGGGACTGGCATGCAGTCCCGGCCAGTTCACTTGGTAGTTGCGCCGTGGTGGCTAGGAGATGTTACTTCTCTCGCCTGGTATGCAGGAGGTCGTCGGTTCGATCCCGACCCTGATGCCTGTATCATGGAGTTTGCGTGTTCTCCCCGTGGTCGCATGGATTTTTCTCCGGGTCCTCCGGTTTTTTTCCCTCCACGTTTAGAATCAACGTGCATTTCGAGCATTTGGCTGCTATAAATGTGCACGTGATAGGCCGCTTCGTTGAGCTATCATTTGTGGCCAGGTCGCTTCTGGAAAAAAAATATCTCTGCAGCTCAGTGGGCCTTAACTGGTGGAAAAAAAAAGTTTTCTTGGATCCCTATAGCATGAGGCTATCACGATGCACTGAATGAAAGTCAGAATCCTTTGAGCTGCCTCTTAAGCCGTGTCCCACGGCTGGGCGATCACCTGTGAAACTAAAATCGCTCTTGGCAAAAATCGCGATGTGTCCATCTTCCCGTAACCTCAGTGTCCACATCCGAGCGAGTGCCAAGGAAATTGAACGGCACGTGCGTCCAGAATCGCAACGTCCCGATCGGAGTTCGCCACTAGAAGCGCGCGAACACGATGGAAAGCGTCGCCACAAAATCGCCGAGCAGATCACCACTCGAACGTAAAGCCTGTAACTCTGCCGTGAGCGGCAACAAGTTGCAGAGACGCCCGCACGCGAGCGATTCAGTTTCGTGCAACCGAATTGTGTGTGACCGATAGCTTACGGTTGGACCCGGCTATATTGACAACTAAATTAAAATAACTTTATCGGTATCGAGGCTCCCGCAAGGCCATGCGGGAAGGCGTGTGACACATTTTTGGCGCCAGCTGTCATAGAGTGCGGTCGTGTCGCTACAGTTCTCTGCGGTGAGTAACAATGTCTTTAAAAACAATGGCGCTACGCCTCTCTAAATAAAATTTACGCTAATAGCTTACGCCTTCCGAAATTCGGGACCCACCCTGCAACTTGCAAACGTGTCAGGAACACGACAGAGTTAGGAGCCACAAGTGACACTCTATCTATTTGTCACTGCTACGGACTCGTGCCGAAACGTTGGATTGCCATGTCGCGGCACTAGAAAAGTCGCCGTTGTTTTTTAATACTCAAAAAAGAGCTCTATAGCCCAGTGGGCCTTGCATGGTAAAATAAAAATGGTAAAAATAAATGGGTGCTGCGGGGCGAGACGTTATCTCCCCTGCCTGGTATGTAGGAGTTCGTGGGTTCGATCCCGACCCTGATGCCTGGTGTATATTTGTAGTCTTGCATGTTTTTCCCCACGGTCGTGCGGATTATTTTTTCCGGGCCCTCCGGTTTTTCCGTCCACATTTAGAAACACGCGTTTAGAGTATTTGGCTGCTATAAATGTCCACGTCGTAATAAGCCACTTCGTTGATCTATCATTTGTGTCCAGGTGGCTTCTGAAAAAAGAGCTATCCAGCTCAGTGGGCCTTAGCTGGTTAAAAAAAAAAACAATTTAAAATAGTTTAAAACAGTAGTTGTATTTACATCACCACCGCCACCGACGCGTTTGTGGGACATCGACGAGCCACTTTGAACTGATCCGGCGTCGCCCTCTACGAACGCCCCCCACACCTCTCCTCCTCCTGCGACCCCACGGTTGTGGCGTGGGTTGCAGAGAGCCTGGCCCGGTGTCCCGGCAGCCACGAGAGCCTGCGCTCGCGAGCGCCCATGATCACGCCGGAGCTGGAGAGTGGCACGCGGCTCTGGCACCTGGTGAAGACTCACGACCACCCCGACCAAAAGGAGGGCGAGCGCGGCAACAAGATGGTGTCCGAGATCTACCTCACCCGCCTGCTCACCACCAAGGTGGCCCGCCTGCTCGCCACTCGGCTAACCCGCCAACTCACCACCCCACTCACCCGCCTGCTCACCACCCCACTCATCCGCCTACTCACCACCCCACTCACCCGCCTACTCACCACCCCACTCATCCGCCTACTCACCACCGCACTCACCCGCCTACTCACCACCCCACTCACCCGTCTACTCACCCGCCTACTCACCACCCCACTCATCCGCCTACTCACCACCCCACTCACCCGCCTACTCACCACCCCACTCACCCGCCTACTCACCATCCCACTCACCCGCCTACTCACCACCCCACTCACCCGCCCACTGACCACCCCCCTCCCCCGCCTGCTCACCACCCCACTTACCTATCCACTCGCCACCCATCCATCATCATCATTGCCCATTCACTGAGTGAATGGGTGAATGGATGGATGGGTGGCTGGGTGAGTAAATTAATGAATATATTCTGAATGGATGAATGGATGGCTGAATGGTAAAAATGTGTGAATTAGGAAATGGTTGAATTCATAATTACATATCCTCCTTTTAACAATGAGCACACGCACAGAGCACTCACGTACAAATGTGTGTGTGGTATGTGCATGTGGTCAATTGTGTGTAGGCATGTGTGTGTGTGTGTGTGCGCGTATGTTGGGTGTGTATACATATGGGAGGCGTGCGTACACGTAGTGGGGAGCAGTAGTGTAGCGGTTAGCGCGCTGCGCTACGAACCCGGCGACACGAGTTCGATTCCCGCTCACGGCAACCGGCCGCAGTGACGATTATCTGAACCGGTTCTGGGCCTACCCTAGGTCGACTCAGCCTCAAATTAGTAGCTGGTGCGGTGTGTAAACATTGCCACGAGGAATACAAAGGCGGCCGGGCTTGTGCCGTGCCAGCCCCCAAAGGTGCTCGCTCACAGCACTTGCTCCTACAGTCTGTTAAGGCTACAAAGGGGGCTCTTTGTCTTTGTGTTTTGTACGTGTTTGAACAAGGCGGTGTGTGCATATGCATGAGTACACACCTACTATATTATTCTCTGTACGTACACATGTGTTTGCACATGCTCAAGACCCATATATATTTATGATCTGTATATATGTAAGAATGCATCCACGTGTGTGTAGTGGTTAGCATAGTGCGCTAAAAACTCGGCAACCAGATTTTGAGTCCCGCTCACGACCAGTCATCAGTCGCAAATAACTGAACTGTTCCGGTACCTCCCCTAGGTCGACTCAGCCTTCAAACGAATACCTGGTGCGCTGCGTAAAAATCTTAAGTGCTGGGGAGACAAAGGCGGTCGAGCGTGGTGTTTGGACCACCCACCCCATAGTGCCACTGTGCCGGCCTTCTATCGGGGGCTCGCCAACAGCACTTGCCCCTACAGTCTGTTAAGGCTTCACGGGGGATCTTTGTCTTCGGCGTGTATCTGCTGGGGCGGCGTCTGGTGCAAGTGCCTAACATGCGCAACGCCGGTTGCTAATCGAACACAGCAAGCCTAGCCCGACCCCGATCTGGGACGGTCTGTTCAAGGCTATGCGCGGGGGGGGGGGTGGAGGGGGGAAACTTGGCCTCCGTACAACTCCCAAGAGCGAAGGAGCGAGCCTTGTGACTCGACGTTCCCGATCTGATCGAGGCCGGGTTAGGAGCGGGGCTCCGCGTGCGTATCCCTCGCCTGAAACCGCACGCCCGCGATGGAGCGAGGGAGATGCGTTCGTGCGCAACTAATAGCGACAAATCGCCTGGGGTCCCTGTGGCCAGATAAGCGTCGGGTTGATGCTCATCTCCGTGTCGCAGTCCGCACACTCGCCCCCCCCCCACCACCACCACCACCACCTAACCCTCCGCTGCCCCCATCTCCTCTCACACTCCAAGTAATTACAGTTCCACATTCCTATGGCAGGGATGTGGCTGCACGTGGGTAGAGCTCTCCCAGGGCGGATATATTCCAACTGAATTCAGCCCATCCATCATGGTCATCATGATTGTTCTCACCGTTTCTATCTCGTCATGGTCGCCGTCACTATCACGGTCATGGTCAACATTGGTGACATCATCGTGGTAATCATCATGGTCGTCGTCACTGTTAACATCATTGCAATCATCATCATGATCAGCATCGGCAGCACCGAGTGGTGGCATTCGACGTAGGCTGCCCAGGGGATATTTGTGTGTGTGTGTGTGCATTTGTGATGTGTGTTTTGTGTGTGTGTGTATGTTGTGTGTGTATGTTTTGTATGTGTGTATGTTGTGTGTATGTATGTTTTGTGTGTGTGTGTATGTTGTGTGTGTATATATGTTGTGTGTGTGTATATATGTTGTGTGTATGTTGTGTGTGTGTGTATATATGTTGTGTGTATGTTGTGTGTGTGTGTATATATATGTTGTGTGTATATTGTGTGTGTGTGTATGGGGAGTGGTAGTGCAGTTAGCGCACTGTACCACGGACCCAGCAACACCAGTCCGATTCCTGCTCACGATCAACAGCAGCGATCAATATGAGAACCGGTGCTGGGCCTTCCCTAGGTCGACTCAGCCTTAAATGACTACCTCATGCAGCATGTATTAAACACCGGAAATGTGGAGACAAAGGCGGCCGGACGAGGTGTTGGTCACCTACCCCGTCGTATTCGGGGATGGCCTTCATAGGTGCTCGCTCACAGCACGTTCCCCAACAGTCTGTTGAAGGTTATACGGGGGCCTTTGCCTTTTGTGTGTGGTTGTGCACGTGCCTTGAGATGCATTGCATGGGAGGCAATGATGATAATGGTGACGACGACGACGACGATTGTGATGGTGACGATGATGACGACGACGATGATGGCAATGATGCTAATCGTGATCGTGATTACGATGACGACGGCGTTGGCGCCAATGCCGACGGTGACGACGGTCGCCGCGCGCAGGTGACGCTGCAGAAGTTCGTGGACGACCTCTTCGTCACGGTGTTCGGCATCTCGCACGGCGGCTCGACGCTGCCCCTCGCCATCAAGTACATGTTCGACTTCCTGGACGAGGAGGCCGACCGCCACCAGATCCACGACGCCGACGTGCGACACACGTGGAAGAGCAACTGGTGCGAGCCGGGGTGGTGGCGGTGGTCGTGGCGGTGGTGGTGCGGGCGATGAAAGTGGTGGTGGCGGTGGTGGTGGTGGTGCGGGCGATGAAAGTGGTGGTGGCAGAGGTGGTGGTGGCAGAGGTGGTGGTGGTGGTGATGGGGGCGATGAAGGTGGTGAAGGGGTGAAGGTGATCATGGGATCGGTAATGGTGGTGATGAAGGTGGTGGTGTTAACGGAGGTAGTGGTGTTGGTGGTGGTGATGAAAGGGGTGGCGGTGATTGGGGTGATGAAGGTGGTGATGGGGTGAAGGTGGTGGTGTTTTTGGGGATGAACGTGGTGGTCATGGCGTTGAATGTGCTAGTGGTGGTGGTGGTGGTGTTGATAGGGGTGATGAAGGTGGTGGTGGTGGTGGTGATGGAGTGGAAGGTGGTGGTCTTGATGGGGATGAAGGTGGTGGTGATGGGGTAAAGGTGGTTGTGGTGATGAGGTGAAGGTGGTGATTATGATAGTGGTGTCAATGTTAGTTGCAATAATGATGATCTTAGTCGTAGTATCAGCGGTGGTCATGATGATGATAATAATAATAACGGCGATCAGCAACGCCAATGGCACTGACAGTGACATTAACACAATCCAGTGGCCACGGCTGAAATTCACCGCAAAACTATAACTTTTTATTTGGCAGGTAAGGCTATATAGCTCAGTGGGCCTTACCTGGCACAAAAAAGATAGCTTCATGAATTGGCTAATTGCGTGGAAATTTATAGCAGCCAAATACTCTGGGGGGAAAAACCGGAGGACGCAGCGAAAAATCCACGTGACCACAGGTAAAACACGCAAACTCCAAATATACAGCAAGCGTGGGGATCAAACCCAGGAACCTCCTGCGTGCGAGGCGAGGTTATTAACATCTCGCCATCGCGGCGAAGCTTCCAGCACGGGTAATTCGTCGCCGCCACTGTGCGCCGTTCCCTCCGCGTACATCTCAACAGAATGTCTTGTCTATCCTGGAGAAACCCGATGAGCTACGAAGCTCTTTTTCACACGCGTCCAGTGACGACGACGATGACAATGTCCCGCTCCCTCCCCGCGCCCGCTCGCTCCGCCGCAGCCTGCCGCTGCGCTTCTGGGTGAACGTGATCAAGAACCCGCAGTTCGTGTTCGACATCCACAAGAGCAGCATCACGGACGCGTGCCTCTCCGTCGTGGCCCAGACCTTCATGGACTCGTGCTCCACCTCGGAGCACCGGCTCGGCAAGGACTCGCCCTCCAACAAGCTCCTCTACGCCAAGGACATCCCCAGCTACAAGCACTGGGTGGAGAGGTGAGCCCGAGGGTGACGTGGACGCGGAGAGGGGTCGGGAGGGGGGGTTGGTGAGCAGCGGGGGGCCGGGGGGCGTCAGGGAGATGAGAGGGGCGAGGGGCGTGCGAGCGTCAAGGCGAGTTGGGTAACGGGCATCGCGACGGCTCGTTTCTGGAAATGCCGAGGCCCCATTGGCCACGGTCCGCTAACGGGCATGACGATGATGATGATGATGACGATGACAACAATGATGACGACGACGATGATGGTGATGGCGAAAGCGATCGTGGTGAAAGTGCCGATGGCACCGCCGATCGTTAACGCGACGATGATGAGAACGAGGTTTGAGTGAAGCGGACGTGTCTGTCGGCGTTTCTGACAATGAAACACATTTTCCATCTCCCAAGGACGACCCCCTCCCCCACTACGATGGCTGAACACTCGCGAAAGCTCTCCACCTACTCACGGGCAATTAGAAAGCACGCGGACAAAGACGCACGTGCGTGCGTGCGTGCGTGCGCACGTGTGTGCGTGCGTGTGTGTGTGCGTGTGTGTGTGCATGTGCGTGTGCTTGTGCTCAAGTGCTGCTGTCTGGCAGAGGACAAAGAATTTGTATCGTCGTTATTTTATTATTATTATTTTTTTAAAATTCTTATTCTGCTCGAAGTATGAAAATGCGGCTGCGAGAGAAGTGTTTTGAGAAACGCCCCGAACGGCCTCGATCAAGCGCCGACGCCCACTGCCCTTGCCGCTTGCCCTTGGTGGCGCGCAGAGCCACCGCCGTCGCAGCGCCGCCGGATGATCAATGGGCACGGCAAACACGCGGCTCATGCCGACGTGGTTTTTTTTGTTTTTCGTTCTGTTTGCGGCCTCGCGGGAGCGCATAAAGCATTCCGGTTGAGAATAAAAATCGATTCGAATAGAGTTTTAATAAAAACATCTCCCACCCCACCATCCCCACCAACATCCCCACCACCACCCCCCTCCCCCCCCCCCCCCACCCACTTCTCCACCCCTCCTTCCTCCGCCGATCGCTCACAATGACGATCGACGCAAAATGGAACGAAACGGTGAAACGTTCCTCGCGACGCTCTTTCCCAAACCTTTATTAACCTCCCAAAAATGTCCGATCGCCTTTCTTACCCCACATTAATTCCCCCCCCCCACCACCTCCCTTGACCGCAGCCGCTGCCGCGAGACGGACGGACAGACTACGTTTGTTTAGTGGCGGCCAAAGAGATTCGTGTGACGGAAAGGTTGAAGCGAATTTAACGGGTACCAGGGCAAACAACCGAGTTTGTGTGTGTTTTTTTTTTTCCCCTAGTCGTGCCGCACAGAATGAAAACGCTTAGAAGCGCTGCCGCCTTACGGCTGTGGCGTTCGTGTCACACGTAACGTCTCTCCCCCGGTCGCGCCGCGTCTTCCTCCCGCGGCCGCCGCCAACGCCGCCGGCGGCGACCGAACCGAAGCTCGTGAAGCAGGTGCTGAGGGCGGAACGTCGAGAGACGTTCCGCCTTTGCCGAGCGGCAGGGCCGCGGTGCAGCCCGACGAACCGCATCGGGAGAAGTTTGGGGGATTGACTTTCGAAGGGGAGGCAGACGTTGCCGCCGGTTAGCGCCGCCGGCACGGTTTAATTGGGCACACTTCTTTTGCTTCCGCTTGTTTGAGCGAAGCGGTGCTCGCTCACTGAGGAGATGTTTCCCGAAAGGGCACCGTCGCCCGTCGCGCTCTGAAGCTTCGGCGATCGCTCGCCACGCTGGCTGCACTGCTTCCTCCTGCCCGCGAGTTTTATTTTTTCAGGGGGGTGGGGTGGGGGGGGGTGGTGGGACGAGTTTTTTTTTGGGGGGGGGGGGGTGGTGGGGGCTGTGGATTTCGCTAGCTCCGAGCGATGCTCACGCGCGCGTGCGCATCTGAATAGGTGAGCGGACACGGCCGCCCGTCTCTGTAAAGGTCTGCGGGGCGCACGCACGCACGCACGCACGCCGTCGCTCACGTGCGTGCGCTCGCACTGGGCACGTGTTGTGCGGAGCGGTGGCACGGCGGTTAGCGCCGCGCGACGACCTCGGCGACCCCGGGAGTTCCGCTCCTGCTCGCGACCGATAGCGGTGCCGAATATTTGAACCGGTCCTGGGCCTTCGCTAGGACGACTCAGCCTTAAATGGCTGCCTGGTGCAGTGGTGGTGTGTCAGCGATCAGCACCGGGGAAGACGGCCAGGGGCCAGGTCGCCCTTTATTGGTTCTCGCTTCCAGCACTTGCCCCCAATAACCTGAACAGGCTATAAGGGGCGTCTTTGTCTTTGTGTATGGAGACTGTTGGCACCACACCAATGGAGGCAGAATCAGCTGTAGCTGAAGAGCGGTGGCCGACATCGATGGTGATCACCTCACGCAGTCCTGGGCATCAGCACTGGGGAGACAAAGGTGGCCGGGCGTGGTGCTGACCACACCACCGCCTTGAGCGCCGTGGCGGCCTTAACATGTGCCCGCTAACAGCACTCGCCCCACAGCAGTGTGCTACAGGCTATGGGTGAGGGTGCCCATACTCTACCCCACCCCGTGACCACGGGTGAGAACACGTAACCCCCAAATATACACAGCAGGCGTCAGGGTCGGGATCGAACCCACGACCTCTCCTGGCATACCAGCCGAGGCAGTCAACATCTTGCGTCCCTCCCTCCCTCTCGCCCGCCCGCAGGTACTACGCCGACGTGGCCAAGATGCCCGCGATCAGCGACCAGGACATGAACGCCTACCTGGCCGAGCAGTCGCACCTCCACGCCTCCGAGTTCGACACGCCGAGCGCCCTCAACGAGATCTACGCCTACGTAAAGAAATACCACGCCGAGGTGGGTCGCCCCACGCCGTGCCTCTCGTCCCGCTAGCTCGATGAAGGCCTCGTCCGCGGTGGGGGGCAGGGGGGGGGCAGCGGTGGTGTGGGGGGTGGGGTGATGTTGTAATCGTGTTTATAATCCGGATCGAGTAAATGTGCAGGTCATTATTTAAAATGTGGATATTTTTTGGTCAATGCCAGATATATATATCTCGATTTGAAGCTTTCGTGACTGCAGGAATCCATACTCTTTGGTCCTTTCGGTAAAGTCACGTATGTAGAAAAATATTAGATGACGACATTTCGATCGTCAAACACAAGCAATCACCATCAGGTAGGTGGGACAACCACAGCAGTTTTTTTTTTCTTGCTGTGGTTGTCCCACCTGATGACGATTGCCTGTGTTGTGATCGAAACGTCACGTGATCTATTGTCGTTCTACCTACGTGATGACTTCACCGAAAGAACCGAAGAGTACCAGATATATTTATATATTTATCTGTTTAGCTCTGGGAGGAAACCAGATAAGCCAGAGGACACCCGTGCAGGCAGCATGGGCAGGTGGGGGGTTGTGGCAGGGGTACAAAAGACAAACACCGACACAGGAAGGCAGCACGAGTACTGGAATCGAACCTGGGCCCTTCTCGCTGTGAGGCCCAAGTGACGCCGTGACGGCAGCAGAAGTTAGAAGTTCGAGGTCAAGCCGAGGCTTCGATCGTCGGGCGCCGAGACATTTGTTTCTAATGTTGATTCCACCACCCATGTTGAGGACTCGGTTCGGACCTCACACGGACTGTGTCATCTCGTCAACCAGACTGTGTTCAACCGCCACCACACTGCAGTTCACAACAGCAGACTCACTCGATTGCTCACACACTCACTCACCCACTTACTTACTCATCCGCCCACCCATCCACCCACTCACTCACTCACCCACTCTCCTAGACTGACTGTTTTGTCTAATCCATATTGGGTTCACTAACCACACTGCAGGTCACAACAATACACTCACCCACTCATTCACTCACTCACCCCACCCACTCACTCTATCACGCTGTTTCATCTCACCCACACTTTGGTCAACCACCAACCTGCGGGTCACGACACTTCCCTTTCTGCTTCTTTGCCATCACAACCGCTCCCCTTTGCAATTCCCCTGCCCATCATCGCCCCCAAGCTCTTACAACAATAACCTCGCTCAATCCCAGGACCGTGTTGGATTTAGTACCGATTACAATCTCGTTTTTGCTGCTGGCCGCTTCACGTTTTGGGCCTTCGTGCCTCCGCTCTGCAATTGTCTTTAAAAAAACCACGATAATAATACATAAAAATCAAGCTAAGAGGAATTCACGTTTGTCAGACTACCGGCCACAGTTGCACGTGACGGCAATGGATTGTCATCTCGGCCACAGCCCCTTCCAGCGATTTGTCAACGTAATCGCAACTCGCAGAAGCTGTCATCGCATTGTGGCATCGTCCCGTGACGCGTTCACTCGCCCTTACACCGTCAAGAGGGCAGAAGCACATTAACATAAGTAAGCATGTATTACACGATAGCTCGCAGCTATTATAATTTGCGGTTGTGCAAGGCTTTCCGCACCCATCTCTGACGAATGTGAATGGATCTGCAATCTGGCGATGGCAAAACTGTAGAAAAAAATGCATATTGCGTATTATTACCAAGGTCATGTCCCCATTCAGTAACCTTTATCACACTGACATATGTTACAGAATTATTAAAAGCCTCCTTATTTATATATTTTTAAATAAAAAATCCATCCCACTTATGCATTACTATCGGTGCGTTCAATACCCGACTAGAGGGCTACTTGGACAATCATCCCTCCAGAGTCATTGCATTGAGTCCCGGCTCCGTGTGGAAGTCAGCTGTAGTTCTCTTGTGGGCGCTTGCAGACAGCCTGGTCCCTGTCATAGAAAGGTGGACATTTTCAACGCCGAGTTTCATTACGCGGTGCCGCGAAAACACCGCCGTCGTCACTACCCTCCGTCACCAAAAGCGTCCATGCAAAATGCGGCAATAAATAGGATCCCACCATAATGTCTCTGTCATATAAAAATTTGCATTAATTGCAAAATCATTTCACGTGCACACTGCGGTGCTTTTCATCATTCTCGTCATCAGTGGTGTCAAACTAGCCCCTTGCATTCACCGCTCTTAATTGCACCTCGCACACCGCGTCCCATCTCCAGATTGCATCGGCAGACGGGAGTTGTTATATTCGCAGATTCAGCGCAAAGGTTCGGCGTTTGCCAAACGGTTTCTGCTGAATTTTGCCCCGTCTTGGCAGAGCAGTGTTCCCTGGGTAAGAAATCTTCTCGCGCAAAGTCCCAGAGATGCAGTTTTTCTTTTTTTTTTTTTACGGCCGATGGCTGCAGGCCCAAAAATGCCTAAAGAAATCCAAGCGTCCGGCAACAAACAGCACAATTAAGCTCGTGATAGACGAGAGTTGACACGTCACTTGAATTGAGCAAGGTTATTACAATCATTATTATTCTCGCCCACAGGCCAATTAAACCTCCCAGTGCACACGGCATGCCCAAGCCCACTTAACTTTTCCTAACAGATGTCTTCAAAAGCACATGCGTATAGACGCAACGTCGCACACGCGTGCATTGTTATTATCGTCGTCGGCCGTGACGACCTCTTGACGTTTAACGGACGTCGCTGTGCAATTCACAGATCCTCGGCGCACTGGAGCGAGACGACCAAGCGAGGAGGCAGCGTCTGGCCCAGAAGCTGCGGCAAGTCGTCGTCTGCATGAGCTGGGAAGGCTGACGGCCGCGGCGAAGCCACGACAGGGCTACAGCGACGGCGGCAGCGGCGGCGGTTGTGGTGGTGGTTGTTGTTGTGGTGGTTGTGGCGGTTGGTGGACACAGTGGCGGGGAGATCAATAGGTCGCCACCATCCTCCCCGCACCTCCTCCTCCTCCTCGTCTCCTCGTCTCCTCCTCTGGCAATCTAACAGACTCGGTCGCCGGGGGACGCCGCCGATGCTCGGACGAGCGTCGCGACGTTGCCCGAGCAACTTTTAAAACCTAACTCGGGCGGAATTTTTTGTTTAATTTATGATCGTCAACGTTAACTTTTTTTTTTCCGTTACAACAAAAAGCGACGACTTGACCGCGATTGCCGGGTCGACGTCGTTGAGTCAGCGCGACGCCACGAAAACAAAGGAATCTTCCCGGGATGTTTGACAACAAAATAGAAACTTCCCCAGTGGGCTGCTGTCAAGAACGCGTCGTATCTCCGACCCGGCCCACGACCCCGAAAAAAGTTGAAGCTGCGGATTAGACACCGCGCGCAGCTCGCAACCGGAAGCTGAGGAACACACACGCAGAGCCCCCCACCCCCCCCCCCCCCCCGATCCCCCGCCTCTCCCCCGCCGCCCCACTCCCTGTCAGTTTTCCCGCGATACTTGGGACAAGAACGGAAAAGCAAAAAATATAATTGATCAAACGAACGTGTTTGTTTTTGTTCATCGAAACAGGCAGCTTCCATGAATGTTATTTTAGAGCGTGTGCAATTTTATTTTGGGGATCGTGCGCTTTACACTGAATGCTGTGTTCAAAATTCGTGGAATTTTTTGTTTTCTTTCGTTCCGTTTTTTTATCCGTTTGTTCATGAATGCGAGCATGTCAAGAATGATGGAATTCCTCCGCTCTGCCTGAGCTGGCTGCCTGTCACCTGGTCGCTTGGCTGGTTGGGGCACCAAAAACCCCACGGTCAGCTGGGCCATGTGGGGTGTCAACCTGGCACGTGACAAGCTTGCCTCTCCAAGGACCGCCTCCCTCTCCGATCCACACGATCCACACGATCAACGCTAGACCTTCGCGCTCCACCATCAGCCGATAGAGTCTCCAAATCGTCCACGTTCTTAAAAGGACATCTTTTACTCTCAACATTCCGACCGAATGTTGAGCGTAAAAAAATAAATTGTCATTTTTGTATTTTTTGCGGGGCATAGGGCCGTTGCGAGAAGCATTGTCCATACTGGGTCAGGGTTTGTCTGCTCAGACAGACGCTGCCAGTACAGCTGGACAAATTTGGTTGGATCCAAAGCCCCGTGAGCTCACGGATTGAAACAACAGTTAATTTCTAGCCGTACAGAGCAGGACGATGGGCCGATTATTTATTTACTTTACGCATCACCTGTGGGTCCTCTGCGGTGGCATGTCAATGAGTGTCGTAGAGAGAGAGAGAGCGGCTCGCGGTGTTTTTAACGAGTGGATAAAAAAATAACTGCCACTGCCCGCACCGATGTTAGCCACCTGCCGGGAATCAAACTTGGACCCGGGGTTCCCTGGCGCAGTCCACTCACCGCTGTGCCACCGCTCCACCTGAAACTGTTATAAGGCAGCATTCATGGAGCAAAGTGGTCATTATTATTACCAATTAAATATGTAGACTTTAACAATTAATCGGTGGCTACGCAGCGTTCAGATTGCCCTCTCTGTCTCATCGGAGGAAGGGGCCCTTGCCCGGGGCACTCGACCTACCGCCGCACAGCACTAACCGGACCAGGCGCTGACGCCTTTCGTAAAATCGGTGCTGCTTGTTACGGGCCGGCGGTCCACGCCCCGATGCAGCGTCGCTTCGCGAACCTGAGGGCGATGCTCCCTCCGCCATCGCGTTCCATCAAGAGGCCATGATCCCGTTTAGGGTCGCACAACAAACCGGGACACACCATGGGCAGAGGAGGAAGGCGAGAGGTGGGTGGGGGGGAGGGGGAGAGGTGTAATTGACCTAAATCAGGACAGGTGGCAAACCCTTCGTTGTGATCGTGACCAAGTGGCCGTTAGACACAGGATCTCGACAGGCCCGGTGACAATGATCGGTAGCGCCGGGGCTATCGTGGGGCTGGGGGGTGGGGGGGGGGGGGGTGCGGAAGTGAAGGGGGGATTGGGGACTGCCACACGTTCAACTCGTTTTATGAGCCGGTGGCCTCAACGATAATAGCGGGGGCCACTACTTCAGCTCTTCCGAACTGGTGGTTTAGACAAGGCTGAGAGCATTGCACGTGCAACATGGCGGTCGCGTTGAGACGTGTGCGAGGCACGATGGGAGCCGTGCCTTCCCGACGTTTGCGAGCCGCACAACTACGTGCGTCGTCGATTCTGTTTATCGGCTGCGGTGGCGGCGTGTGTTTTAGTTGAGGTTTTTTTTTCGGATTTTTTTTGTTCAAGAGGGCAGGATGGCAGCACCACACCAAAGTCTGCGGGTGGCACGGGTCACGCGTGCTGATTCCACGTTACAGGTTGCCCTCGCGTTACGCGGCAGTAGTAGATGCGTTCCAAAAAGATGGCGCGCAAAGCGAAAACCGCACGATGAGATAGCTGCCTGCCGAGTAGCATGCACAGTACACACATACAATACACACACAGTACACACACACAGTACACACACACAGTACACACAGTACACATGCAATGTTGTCCCACGTCCGACCGCATCGCCACCGCATCTACATTAATTCAAAACCGCATACATTGCGAATTTTGGGTAAGAATATGTTCCCTCGAAATTGCACAAACCGAACCCCTGCGCAGAGCGATGGAAACCTGTATTTCATTGTCGCTTGTATATATATATTATTTTGTTGGCCAGGGCCCGGAGACAATTTTACGGAATGGAGCGTTCTCCCAAAGTGGAGGTCACGTGGCCTCCGACGCCCACATCGGGAAAACGAGAGAGAAGTTCACTAAATGAGCGAGATCTGCTCGGAGCGAGCGGTCGTCGGTTTCATAAAACACCTTCCGTGATGTTTCCCACCTAAAAGTTCGCGAACGGAATTATGCGTGTAAACGAAGCGGGATTTGTTTTACACTTGAGGAATTGTATACGCCACTGCCCGGTAAATGACGAAACGTTTGCCCCAACGTCGTTGGGCCAACATTGGGCGAACGTTGGGCAAACGTTGGCCCCCCGAAACCGTTGGTGCCGTCGTTGTGCCAGCGGTAGAAACCCGATCAGTGGCTCGAACGTTGGCGTGTTTGCTGGGTGGCGGCAGCAGAGGATGTTTGGGGATTCAAGGAGGTGTGCACGGTGAAAAGCTGCGGTGTCAGTCAGCGTTCGCGCGTGCGCGTGATGGCTCTTCCGCTTCCTCCCTTCTTCCCTCGCCACGACGAGCGGTTATTAGCTCGTCGTGGCGAGGGGGGGGGGGGACAGGTGCTTATTTTGAGCCGTGATGAAAAGTGGAGCGCGTTCGCTGGGTGAAAGCAGGCTTTAACCACGCGCGCGTAGACTCGCGCACCCACGGAGGGCCTCCCGCCGCCGCCGCCTACCTCCCACGCCTTCCCCCAAACCACCGTTGTGACGGCACAGTCCAGCGTCGCGTATCCGACTCGCCGGGGACTGAGACAGAGGCACATTTGTGAAACGTCGATGGACAAAGCCAGTGGGCGTGGGGCGGTTAATTGGTGAGCGTGGATTTGTGACGGTCGGATACGTGACGTTGCGCTGGTCTATGCTCTGGTGAGCAAGTGCCGTTAGCGAGCACCCATTTGGGCTTTTGAGGTCGTGTGGCCAGAACCACGTTCGCGAGGCTGCCTTTGTCTCCCCAGTGCTAACGTTGTACACATCGCATTAGCTACTAGTTTAAGGCTGCGTCGACCTAGGGGAAGCCCAGTAAAGGTTCAAGATATCACTCATCGCTGATGTTAGCCACGGCCAGGCATCGAACCCAGGTTTACAGTGCGGTGCGAGAACCATCACGTTATCGCTCCTCATATAACATACTGTTGGGGCAAGTGCTGTTAGCGAACACCCATGAGGACCGGCACGACACACGAGGGAGTGGGTTGCCAGCACTGCAGCACCGCGCCCGGCCGCCTTTGTCTCCCGAGTGGCGATGTTTATACATCGCGCACACAGGTAACTCGTGTATGGCCGAGTCGACCTGGGGGGTGGGGGGGAGGCCCAGGACCGGTTCAGATAATCCTCACTGACGTTGGCCTTGAGCGGGAAGTCGAACTCGGGGGGGGGGGGGGAGGCTCTTGCCGGGTTTGTTGCGGAGTGCAGCAGCGGCTAAACACCGCGCCACCGCTCCCACGCACACGCGCGCGGACACAAACAAACGCACGCACGCGCGCGCAGAGGGCGCGGCGCGTTCGTTAATTTGAGCAGGTTCCGCGCATTGCGTCGGCTTGTTTCTGCGTTAATTCTACACGCGCAGATAAATCGCAGAAACCCATTAGGCTTTCCACTACGCCCATTACGGCAAGCTCCCGGTAATTGCCGCTGAGCCTCATTAGGGTCTTCCCCACCGCGCTGGAGGCGTGGATTACGGTTTCAGAGAAGTAGTATCTTATTTCCGAGCGCATCTGTGCAGTGGTTGAACATTATTATTTTTTACAGACACATGTATATATTTTTTTTATTATTTTGTCCTCTTTGTTGTTGGAATCACCGTTTATTTTGTCAACGGAGCTCATTTCAACCGGACGTCTCTGTCTGCTGAGATGCAGCCTGCAAATTCAAATTCTTAACCCTTCCAAGCAAAGGGGGTGGCAATTATTTTTCAAGCTCGATTACGCCGCTGAAGGGGACTACCGGCGGCGTCAGGCACTACCACAGCCACGAGAGTACAAGCTCTACGCCTATTCGCAATAATATTACATTTTTTCTCGGTATTATTGGCCACATTATTTAGTGGTGTTGCTGCTGCGTTGGCAGCGGTGCACAAGCACAACTAATAATAAATCAACACACAAAAGTCTATATTAGGTGATGTTTTGGACAAAGGCCATTTTTCAAAGACCATACAGAGGCCACTTATTATCTCTACCGCTCTGGACTCTCTCTTGGGTGCTATAAAGAAGAGGCCACACGCAGTGGTATTGACGAATGTGTTACGTTTTTATTTTTATTTTTTACCGTTACACCAGCTATTAATTTCAGTCTGAGTCGACCTCGGGGCAGGCTCATGGTCCGGTTCATGTTGGCCGTGAGCGGCAAATCTAACTCGGGGGGGGGGGGGGGGGTGGTGAATCACCAGATCCGTAGCGTAGTGCAGCGCTAACCACTGCACCACCGCTCCCCGGAAAGTACACACACCACACACAAAACAGGCGAGGTTATTTAAATATACAGCTTTGCCGCCTCTATTTCTGTAATCGTACGAGGAATTATTAAATCAGCATCACGAGGACTTAGATAGACGCGGCGCCCTCAAGCAATTCCCGGTGCCGGTGTCGCGGACTGTTCCGTTGGCATTTGCCTGTGGCTGACGGCAGCGGTTGGGTCCAGCAACCTGTGGTGGGGTCCGTGGGGAACTGGGCGGTCAAATCGTTTTCACCGAATGTGAACAAGTGAAGGCGTGTCGCACAGCCTTCCCGTAAACAAACAAAAAAAAACGTTATCGGGTCGTTAAAGGTTGTTTGACCATACTTCACTGCGTGGGTCAGTGCGGGTTTGCGAACGCGTGTGGAGTTTTTATTTTTTGCATCTGGGAGCATCAGAGTGGGGCACTTCCCCGCAATGTAGTCGCCGCCGCAGCCGCAGATTTTCGTCAACGGTGGTGGTCACCCACCCAAGCCACCATCCAGGCTCCAAAATCCGCGTAGTCTTCCGAGACGCCGCATTCCTGGGTGATTCGGTCATAGTCAACGGACGTTTACGTCACGTTAAAATCTTTATTTACTTTTGCACAAACTCCGCAACAATGAGTGCGCGTATTCTGTAATTAATCGAGCGATGGTTAACCTACGGGTGGTCAGACTCCTGGTTTTTGGAATGTGGAATATTCACTGCTGGCACAGGACCCCACCACCTGTATGGACACGAGCACTTTCCCCACTCTCGTGTGAGCATCGGGGGTAGATGGACGGTGGGGGGGCGATATCTCGGCTGGATTTTTCAGAACTGATTAATGCGGAAACAAAATGCTCGGCTTCCTTTCGTTTTACCATCGCGTGCTTGGGTTTAATTACGAGTGTCCGATTCTCGTATGTATGCGTGCTCACGATCAATTGTATTGTTATTCTTTGAACGTGACCCATCCGCCCGTCCCTCCCTCTCGACCTGACGTCCTGTCAGCCAGCAAAACTTCATTTTTTTACGGTATTATTATGCTTGTTTTACTGAGCAAAACCTCACTGAGTCTCACGACTCATGTTCAGGAGTCGCCTACCAGGCTTTCACGGTAGGGGTTGTGGGGGGGGGGGCGATGATTGCCATGTGTAATCCGAATTGAGTAAATCGCGGTGTCATTTCACCAATTTGGCAAGTTTGGACCACGACGCCGACGCACAGTGGGCACTGCTCTTGCGAACGACGTCACGGGATCAATTTACTAGGTGCTCGCCCATTAAGGCCCATTAAGGCGAGCTCCCAGTAATTGCTGCTCAGTCTCATTAGGTACCTTCCCCGCCACGCTGAAGGCGTGGATCACAGGGCGGAGTCTCGGCGCGGTCGCAGCGTATTTCCTGGGCACGTCTGTGAACGTGAAGCGGACGGCGCGACGCATCGCGAACACGCGCGCCGCAGGAGTCATCGCGGGCGTACGCCGGATTCCAGACTCACGGACCAATGCGGCAAGCGGCGATGCGACGGTGAATTCATCCCTCGGTTTCAAATCCAATCCTTCGTCCACGACGCGCAGCATAATAACAGGAGTCCGATAACAATTATTTAAAACAAAAATTCATTTAGCGCCTATAATCGAAAGATAACAAAGCGTTGTCCACGTGGAAATGTCAACGATCCATACCAAACAAGATGAAGTAAAACGTTTTATACAAGACACGGGAATTATGGTGAACGGATCGCATCAACGCATTGGTCTAGTGCTCCAAGAGCAACCCTATAGAAGTGATTTGCTGTTGCAGCTGCATAGCGTAGCCACGAGCCCAGTAAACGTGCCAGCCTTGGTCGAACGTTGGCATGTGGCTGGAACCGTTGGGCGAACGTTGGATCAACGTGCCACGTTTCCTAGTAGAATTCTAATGTTTTGTTTGAGTGTCGAACACAGAGAGGTCACCTTCAACATTCTTGACAAAATACCGAACATACAAAATAGTGGCACGAGTGGGTGGCCCTTCGTGAACCCGCGCCTGCAGTCCGGTGACTTGGCTGGTGGATCGCGTGTCCATCCTCTCATCCATCATATTAGCGAGACACCCACCGGTGAGGTAGCGAGGTTGTGTCTGCGGTAGGCAGCGCAGCAAGTAGGTTAACAACACGCTATGTCGTGGATTCGTTTGGGCCCCTCCCCCCGGAGCTATCTGCTCGATGGGCACGTGCAATAATTACTCGGTGGGGGGGGGGGGCGAAAAAAGGAACCGGCTACAATATCCCAGTGGTAGCAGGACCCTCCGAAACATGAGTCCCTGAGACTCGGAGAGGCGATTGAAAAGTAGCGATGGAAAAGACGTAGAAAGCAGCGAGTGAATCTCATGAAAGCTGGGTTACGTTTAGACATCGTTCTCTTGAGGTGCAGTGCACTTGGTCCAGCGTCGCCATCAACATCGTCAGCGACGTCCCGAGGATCTTAAACCTCGCAAGAACGATTTGCCTCGCTCCTCAAGCCATACCCGACTCACAGCTCTCACGCCGCTTAATTTGTCACTAGAAAATCACTCGCGTTGCCCACGAGTGATTCTTTAATTGACAACATATGGAAGGCACTGGGAGCCAGGTTCGGTGATTGTGAGTTTTGAACGGATTTCTCTG